ATGTTGATTCGAACATTCGACGTTGAAACTTTGATCGGAGATAATATGATAACCAATCGATTAGGAACATTGTTCTATTCAACTAGTACAACAACATTTACTTTAAGTTTTCGTATTAAAAGCAGGATTCATGATCACCTGGTAAATGAGCGAATCTCACGATCGTTTGGTTCACCTATATCCACTTTTCCATTTGCGTAATCTGCTTCTGAATAGGACTGAGAATGATATGGAAAATAAATGTTTTTTAACATTATTTTGTTTTAGAACTTCTCTCACTTGGTGTTGAGAGCTTTGAATTTGAATAATAACTGAAGATCACATTCAAAACGACTTATGTAGATAAGTGGTCTATTCAGCTTTTTGGTTAGCTGACGTTCGAATATTTCCATTTTGAGATGTGACTGAACACCACAAAGTAAATGAATGATTCTCACGATTTTTCTGTTCAACTTTTATACCGACTTTGCTTCGAAAATTTGAAGACCAAAAAGGGATTGGGTGTGGGTAGGTGTAGATATGGATGGGAGATGTATGTGAGTGAAGGTTTCAGTGTGGGTCGGTTTATCATCCGACAGCCACATTCACATTCACACGCACACCCATCCGATTGCTTTCGAAGCCGTGAATCATCGATCTGGAGTGGAAGTATGGGTTTTCTCTTCATCTACACATTCACTCCCCTAATAATATAGGTAAGATTAGTGAAAATAAGGCTTGATTACATGATACATTGTCATATTATCGGAAAGCAATGACACTCTAGCGTCAAATGTTACGTGCTATACATAATGATATTATTCAAAAAGCGACAGATATACAGTATATGATGATTAAGCTTTAAAAATATTATATTTTCAGTCTTTTATTTTGATCAATAAATTTATATTGTGTTTTCGACTAATGTAGTTTTAGAATGACAGAATTCAACTATTGGTTAAAAATTATGAATGTTTCAGTTAAAACGTTTAGTCTATACGTAAATTTCCTAAAATCTATTGAATATTTTACTCAATTTGCCACAATATTCAAGTTTTCTTGAAAGCTCAATAGTTCAAGCAACGAGTTTTGAAAAACTTTTAACAACCATTATAAAGAATGAAAAAATACGCATTCTCGATATAACTAGATTTGGATGATTCATTATCACGTTCATGATACTAAACTATGCAAAATTTTCAATTCATAGGTCTCAAAGTAAATGATATCTATTAACTATCAGATTATGATTAGAATCCATCGGTTGCCAATAATATCTAGTAATTGGATATATTCTTTTGTAACTATCATTATTGAACATTGTTCTAAATCTTTTATCATAGATCAGAAATATCTCAATAGAAAATTCAATTTTAATGCATGAAAAAAATCGTTATAATAATGCATATGGTATAGATTGATATTTTTGCGTATGTTTTTATTTAAAATGAAAACAACGATGCCAATACAGAATGAAGCTAATCACAGTTTATCAAATCATTCTTGGTTTATATGATAAAAACAAATGAAGATTGTTCAATTGAATCTAATAATAAATTAAATACTTATAATGAATAAAATTTATCAATCAATAAACTTACTTGCATTTACTAAAATCCATTTCTGGATGAGCATCCATAAATCTAATAAATAAAATGAATAGAGAATACGCGATTTTTGTTAAAAATCTTGTCATATATAAAAAGTAATAATTTACTTTTTAAGCATATCTTGTTTCTTTTGTTCATCAGAAGTAGGTAAACCAGCTTCACGTCGATGTTGATCATACATCATTTTTTCAACCATACCTCGTGTTTCACCATCCAAATCCGACAACTATATTCAATTAAAATTTCATAAAAATAACTGATCAATAGAAATCTATTAAAAGATTTACTTTAGAATTTTCAGGTTGAACTTTACGTGTATTTATTTCAGGATCTGTTTTTACTATACGACTCCACCATTCCATTTTATTAACCTTGATTTTAATTAAAATAAATCTATTAACAAATATAAATTTAGAATAAAACAAAAAATACTTTTTCAATAACGATATGAATTGCTTTTCCATCATCTAATGTCCACATAGATTCTTCTTTTTTCAAGTCAGCAAACGTTTCTCCATCAATAATTGGTGGATGACCACGAAGACCAACAAATAGATGCTATAAAAAAGGATATACATTCGAAATACAAACATTTCGAAAACATGAACATA